AAGAATTTAATGATTTGAAAATCTCGAAAAAATTATAGTTTATATAAATGAATAGTATGAATTTAATAGTATAATAGTATTATTTAATGGTTTTAAATAACAAAAACGGCAAGAAAATATGTAAATAACGATACGATAAAAATGAATGATGACTATATCTATATAATTTGATAATATCGATACTACCTTATTGTTTTCAAATTCACGTTATTACAAATTATTTTAAACTTAACTGTGTGTATTGTTATATATTTTACTATAATATACCTACATACATATATACTAAATAAATATATAATATAAACAAATTACATATTTATACATATATATTATGTACAAATTATATATATAAATTGTATAATGTTGAGTGAAGTCTGCAAGTTACAACGATTATACGGGTTTTTTTGCATCAAATAAATCATGGGTTCGCATTCGTTGTTTTAGAATTACTAATCTTTGGATATATACAATGTTACATCATGTCGTTATATGGAAACAAATAAAATGCCGACAACTAGACAGGTATTGTATTCAGTTATTCATTGTAAAACTCCTGTGTATATACGTGTCTTGGATCTCTTGTGTGCCATTTGACTTGGCAAAACGCAAACTGATATAATTGATGCATAACAATGTTTCCTCTGATATTTTTGCAAACAATATAAACAATATAATTCTGCAAAGTATATATTAAAATACTCGTATTAGCCGTATGCATTATATTATACAGATATACAGAAAATCTGAGCAGTTTGTTTTCTTAACATTTGTACGTTTTTATACTGACAAGTCGTATTAACTTATACGAATACAACAGATACATAGAATAAACAATGTTTTGTACATTTCACGATATATAGTCATAACCGATATAAATATACCCATGTGCACATGTATAGGTATAATAACTATAAGGTTTAGGTATGTGATAGAAGCACCATTATTCTAGTTGTCTATCATTAATATAGTTATATCGTTGATTATTTTATTTTTTTTTATTAGCGTATTATATAGTTTACACATAAAAAACAATTAAAAGAAGACAAACAGTTATTAAATTATCTTAATAATTATGGTTTTAGGCTATTTTCTAATAAAACTGGTACGCATTTTTAAGGATGCTAAAAAACAAAAATAAAATAATAAGCACCAGAACGCGGATTTTACCAACCAGTATTGTAACACATAACAATAATAACAATAATAATAATAGAATATGTAAATAATAGTTATTGTATGTACATTTTATTACAAAAAATATGATGTAGACAGACAGTGCTAAATCAACATTATTTGTTTTTGTGGTTCGATTGTGATTTTTTTTTTTAATTATGACAATAAAACATCAAAGAGTGGTTTTCTAAAAGCAAATACTTTTTTATTTATGTATTGACTGGCAGCTGGCACAATCAATGAAATAATTAACAAAAAAATTAAAAAATTGTCTATGTGTAAAATCGAATTTGATATTTGTTTTCCCAACATGCGGTGAATTTAAAACGTCAACGATGTACGATTGTACATATATATATATTTATTTATTATGTGCATATTGTTATCGGTTGATGAAAAACAATCGGATACTGATATCGGGGGCACCTGGTTATTCACACAATGGGCGTGTGGCAACAGGGGGACTCTTCTTTTTATTCTTCTTCGTCTTCGCTCCAGACAATGGACGTACGATATGACCAATATAAATAATAAATTACTGTATCATAATATACCTAGTGTTATTCATGCGCGGCATATGGATTTATTAATTCCATAAACGTCCGTGCGTGCGTGTTATGTACACATACGACCGATTAAAACGCGGTGGACTTTCAAGTTTCAGGTGAAAACCGATGTGTACACCGATTGAGAGATTTAATCGAAGCGTCGTATAATCCCGCACCCGCATGACGATATACATAACACTGATACACGCCGTACACGCGTGATACGTGACACTCGCATAGGTATGTCCATTTATAATAATAACTATATTAATATATGGTTTTCATACTCTTGTAGGTATAAAAAATAAATTCTCAAGTCTCCGGGTAGGTCCTCCGTATAGCCGTTTTGACGGCGCGACCTCTAATAAATAACTCATAGAGAACTAGCCGTTTAATTGCATATATAGGCATGTATAATAAACGTATAGGTATTTCGTTTTACGATATTTCACACGCGCGCAACTATATAATACATAGGTACGTAATGTTATATCCAATAATGCCAATCTGAACTCCGACGGCACTTCGGGCGATCAATCATTTTTAGTGGTTTTCTCGTAAACCCCGTTAATTTGTACAATAATAATAATAATACTATCACTATTATTGTTTCTAGTGTTTCTGCTGCTCTGTTAGTATCTAACATCATATCAGCGTTTTGCAGATACGATTTTAATTTATATTCCAGTGTAACGATATTATGTGACGGTGACAAATCATAATTCAACGATTTAAAATTTTCAGAAAACTTCCATTTACAAGACATCCTGTTATAAATTCAACCAATCAATGTTAGTGAAATTTTATACTAAGCACAAAATGATTCATCAAGTACATGGTCATCATAATTTAATAACTTATTCAAATTATGAATTTTGCAATTTTCAGGTATATTTAAAGAACATTCTTTTAAATATTGTAATTTTTCTTGTTACTTAAGAAATGTTATGTGAAGGTATAAAATTATATTATTCAAACACGAACGTATTATATCTTTGTTACGCGCATAAATTTTATTTTGTATAGAAATCGTTACTTTTTTACTATAGAGAGGAATAGCAAGATATATTAGTAGATCTCTCCGTGTACCTCTATTTTTAATTTTGTAAAAAAAGGAGAGTCGAATGGAAAATTGATAAGAATAGGACAAGATTATAAATACTTTGTCTCTTATTAAATAAATCAATATTTTTATAATGAAAAGTTATTTAGTTGAGATACCGGTGTAATGTTTTTTATTAAATTCGAGGATTACGAGTACGATACGTATCTTTTTTTTATTTATTTAAAAAGATAACCCTCGGCATCAAGGCCTCTTTCTCTCTCTCTATTGAAAAAGGATGCATATCGTTGTACTGTCTAGGAAGATTTGTAGATTTTGTACATATGGTAAAAAAAAAATAATAAATAATTGAAAAATATTGGTTTATTATAATATAGAAGTTATAGGTTGTGAAATATACAGTCACGGTTGCCACGTTATCCTATGTTGCCGTAAGCGTTAGTATTTGTATATCATATTATATATGTAACTATAAAGACTTGTTATTATAATTATTTTTTTTTTTATAGGGGAATTATGATTTTATGGGTCAAACAGGCCTGCGTGGGAATCGCCCCCGATGGTCCAATACACCCACTGCATCGAAATTTGTTTTAAAATAACAGACATTAAGACTTATATTTATCCATCATTATGTATTGCTGTTATGTTTTTTAAATAAATAATATTGTATTTTATAAATACTTATCAAAATGTACGTCATATACGAGTATATTCAAAAAAATTACGTTCAACGCTTTATTTTAGTTTTATTAGAATATTATATACAGTAGACCGTAATAACTTTTCAAGACCGTTAATTTAAATAAAAAAATATTGATATATTATTAACCTCATTATTATTGGCATATATAATGGATATATATATATATTATATAGATATAATTTTAAAAATAGTGGTTGAGTGGTGGTGACACGAAAAATTAAAACTTTTCGAAATATTATTTGTCTATTTTATAATAGGTAAGAAAATATTTGTATTTATTTAGTTTAACTGTATATACTCGTATATATATAAATATTATATCATCACAAACTTCATTTGGTAATGTTTTAGGACAATTTGAACACTGTTTGCAAATAAAGAGAAGAGGACCTGAGACGCTGGAGACAAATGCCTACTTTGTCACACCTGGTGTAAAATTAATATTTTAAAAAGACTTTCAATTATTTTAGAAAATACTTAAAGCCATATAAAATTCATTCATGTATATATATATATATTATAAACATAATATATATATAAGTTTAACGCGAATTCATTAAATTATATTTATAATATGTATAGGTATACGTTTAGTACGTAGTCGTTAGTATAAGTCCTGTAAAAATAATATACCGGTAGTTAGCAATTTCTACATGTTGTAATTAATCTTTTCAAATAAAAAATGAGTTTGGCGAGTACAATTGAAAAAATTGCGTACGTAGGTACCTTCATTTTTTTCATTTATATTAAATCAATGAATTTGATCGATTTTGCCGCCAACTGCAACGGGGTGACGACATCGCGTGGAGGAATTTGCACCGAGATGCAATAAATCGTTGGAAAATAAATTAAGCACACCGCACAGTACGACGAGACCGGAATTTTGAATAAAACAACAATGACGCATCTTAGTGAACATCATACCTTGGCCTAACCAAATTATACATCACGAAACTGTTAAAGATTACATTAAAACCGTATATCTAATGCTGTGGTCACTAGTCAGTATCTTTTTGCAGAACAAAAAGTATATTTAACGTAAAGTATATGACAGTAGGTTTGCAAATGTTGCTGAAAATCGATATTTTATAAAACAATATAATATGGTATATGATCGAATCGTAAATTTATAATAAAATAATAAAATAGACATAATAAAAAAAAAAAAAATTCATTTATTAGATTATAATATATTACTTAAGTATATAATATTATACGTATATGCACAATATATTTTACATATTATAATGAATTGACATTCACAATACAAAATAAAAAAGGTGTAAAACGTATTATGTTAGTTCAGTCTGATACACGATAATTTGAGCGTAACATATAGTATATAAATATATTTATAAATGTATTATATTATAATATGTATAATTAAAAGAGATATAAAATACTGTTAATATACGCTATGTATGTACAAAATGTATAATTATGTTTGATTGGATATAAAATAAATAAGTACTTATTATAATAAATGTATACTAAACCACGTCACAAATCGCAATATTTACAAAATACAACAATCTGGAAAAATTGTATACGTAACATAAAAAATAATACAAGTTAATTTTATTGAAACGGTCCAGTATAACTTGTTGAACACTTCTTGTTACGGCCGCGTGCGCACTCCAACTCCTGTATTTAAAAAAACATAGACAAGGGTTAGTGGAAAAATATGTTTACTGTATTTCGGTCAATGACTTAAAAATAAGCACTACCAGCTATATAAATACACTATATACTGATTCTTACTACATCGCGACTGCAGCAAATAAACGTACGCCAAACATAAAATTAAATTATACCATTTTCATGTCATGCATATTGTGTATACAATACTAATATATTAATACGTCAATATACATAAATAGAACACAACACTGGAACATTTATTTATGTTGTATTTAATGGATAACACGAACCAATAATTTTTCAAAGTGCTTTCGTTTTAATAAGCCGTGAGCACCGAGTGTAGGTACACCTACCTAGTACCTACTCGTACTTTTTTAACCTGCAAACATACTTAAAAATGTATCTATTGAAATGTATAATTTGTAATGTGTCAGTATCAAGAGAAACATGCGACGAACAGAGAAACAACTTAATATTGTGGCTGCGTACTAATATATTTATACATATTATTAACGCGTAAAATAGTATTGATACGATGACGTGCAAGCCAAACATCGGGTGTTAGAAAAAAAGTATCGTTTTTTGGTTACGGATATAACAAACAAAATTTTTATTTTTTTTAACCGCGTGCATGGTGAATTTTTCCAACCAATAAATAAAGTACTTATTTCAAATATCTCGTTTAAATATTTGTGCTCGAACACGTCAAGAAACGTTCAATAACGACAACAACGATGGACACGTGCAAGTAGTATTTTAACACATGTACACTGTACACGAATACGGAATTATATAATATCGTAAACTTATCTATTATATGTTATTAACACAATTGTACAGAATACGATGTTTTTTTCCTTAATTCTCAATTTTTCAAACCGGTAAATACACCGATGTACCGTTAGCGCACTAGGCGTGAAATATCAGTGTACATCATTATAAAGTTCACGGAATAGTGACCCTCTCGCAGCGACGATGGTTATGCGTATATACATAATGCTTATACATATGCGTATGAACTATGTATGTATATAAGATTTAGAGGACAAGAAATAATAATTGAACCACGCCGGCGGCGGCGTTAGGACAATAACATTATTCTTTATACAATCTTAATACTCGCGTGCTTTTAAAAAAAAAAACAAAACATGGTAAAATACTTTTCTTTTGGGAGTATGCTTACCGCCTAAGAGAAAACTACACGCGTTTAAGATCCGTAACGATATGAATGCTATTATTTTTTTCTATTTAAGGGGTTTACAATTCTATATATAATCACATCGCGTCCGATACACGTCCGGGTTAAATACGCACGATTCATTGAAAATGTGTCCACCACAATTTTTCGATTAAAATACAAGTAGATACCTATAAATAGTTGTTTAAAATGTATCAGAGATATTATGTCGAAATTGAGCGTGAATTTTATTGACATATTTGATAGTAATCGATTTTGGTTTGAAAACATTTATATATTGTCGAAACAGAACATAGCAGTCTCCTGTAAGACGGTTTGTCGGACGAAAATAAAAATTGCCATTTAACGCTTAGATCGATGGTTTTTGTTGAGCACGAACGATGATCGAAACCATTGGATAAATGTTAAAGGGGACGTTTTTTAACCACTAATAGAGGTAGGGTACTTAGTCTCCCTGTGCCCTTCACTTTAACCCTTGACCATAGATAGGTATGTTAAGAATATCATTATATTTCTTAATATTTCTATATCCATAAAAATAGTTGGTTGGTATCAAATCCTCTTGAAATTGTTAGTTTACCTATGAAACTTCATATAATATTATTATGCTAATGCTTAGATCGTTAACCATTTTCAACAGATACAAATATTCAGTATATTGCCCATTAAACATATAGTACCTACGATTTATTAAATAATGTTATAAACTTATAACATATAAATTGTATTGAATAAAAAATAACGAACACGATTAAACGCAGCTAACCGATGCAAAACGAAACGGGTTCGTGTTGTAGAGTCCGCCCTCATATTGCACTCAGTATCTTAATTGCCACGCGCGATTTTCGATAATTTCAGATTAATGATTATACATGTTATTGTTATTATTTAATAAATAATTGAATAATTAACTTGTACAGTAGACGGCCCACTATCAATGTAGTTAAGTTTTTAGAAGAAAAATTCTATATATATTTTACACTAGCTGATTCTTCATGCAGTTACCTGTGACAAAATTAAATATCTGTAGATTTACCCCTTTTTAAACTATGTTAAATTTAAGTTAATGCTTTTTTACACAGTTGTTTGGGTTATCTTGATCGATTATAAAATACATTTCTAAAATTCTATCTAATCTTAATAACTATTTTAAATTTCAATAATTAATGTCAACAATATGTAAATTAAATAAATAATAGTTTTACACGAATCAAATAAATTCAAATTTATGTGTTGAAAAGTAAAAAAACCTACATGATACTACGTATTTTATTGAGTTCATTGATGAAAATTGAATAAAAATTTATCAAAAACTGTGGATTATTATCCGTTTTAGACATTTTATTTTATGTAATAGATATATTTATTATAATTATTGTAGCTTATTTTACACGGCGTTGCCCGTGAAAAATTAAATATTATTAATAAATCTATTAATAGATTTACTTGTTTTAAATTCCATTAAAATTTAAATGTAAGCAATACATAAATTTTCATATTATGTGAATAAAACACAGATCTAAAATTTTATTCAATTAAAATAATTATTTTATTTATTGTAGCCAATAGTCAATAGGTAACTTAATACAAATAAAAAAATATTCATTTTTTATGAACCAAAAAATCTTTATGAGAGCCCCTACTTAAAATGCAAAATTCTTAAAAATTGGCTTCGAGTTGTGTATTCTTAAGGATGGAACCTTACTTATGTATCACGAGTGCATGAGATATGAAACTTGGTTGTGAATCGCTTATAAACATACAAACATTTTTTTTTTTTTTAATTATTATTAAATATATATATATATTTTTTTTTTTATTATTATTAAATGTTTTTATTCAATCTGTTCCAAAAAAGAACAATAAGAACAATTGAGGTGTGGAGATAAAAAAAAAAAATAAAAAAATAATAGCAAGGTACGACAGACCGTAGAAGCCTCCCAGTGGAGGTACTACATTAAAAAGAGAAGCATAAATATTAAAATTTAGTTATATAATAAGTAGGTTTCTACACCACTTTCGCTTTAGCCGTTTGGTAAGATTTCCAGGGATAGTTAGGGAAGAAATATCATGCATGAGAGGGTTTCTGTGATTTAAAAGACGGTTATGGAATTTTTTGTAGTGTGTTTTAGCCACGTCTGTAACGAAGGGTATGGAGAGGTCATGATGGAGTGTGTGGTTGGAAACATAGAAAGGTGCTTTGGTAATTTGTCTTAGAGTTTTAGATTGGTAGGTTTGTATTTTATTTATATTAGTAGGCTTTGCTGATCCCCAGAGCTGTATACCATAGACCCATATTGGTTTAAGGAGCATTTTATATATCAAGAGCTTGTTATTCAGATGAATATGTTTGGAGGTCAGTAGGTGTCTTAGTTGGCGGCTACGATCATTGAGTGTTAAACGTTTGGAGCGTATATGAGGGGCCCATGTGAGCCGGCGGTCTAGGGTTAGTCCAAGATATTTGTCATTTTGAGAGTAGGGTAGAGGTTTTAAATATATATAATGTTATAATATAGTTAACGTATTTATAATAATGAAATAATAATAGTAGTAATAATAATAATAATAGTAACGATGAGTAATGATGTATAAATAATGGTATGATCTTTTTTTAAGCGTACAAAAACGAAAATCGTTGGTATATTTACATAACCGCGGTTTGACGCGGTCGAGTGGTTTTTTTTTTTAAATGTCATATAGTGTTATATCGAAATCATAACTGGTCAAAGACGTACTCGTATATAGGGGGAAAAATCAAGGCATAAATACCGACATTGCCGACGTGTCGCTTCTTCATATACGGACATATGGTATGAAATGATCGACTGCAGTAGAATACTTAACTCGCCGCCGACTAGCTAATACTCTCTGTACCTATACTACTAGATATCTGTTAACCCCCCCCCCCTATATATATATATATTTATATATTATCACGTAAATAATTTATAATGCTGTGAAATTGTCGTCGTATATCGCACACGACGTCGTCAAGACGTGTTCAACGTGTAAACGTTATGAATAGCGATTCGTCACTGCAATGTCGACGGGTCATCTGTATATATAATGTTATACGAATATACACATACACACACACACACATATATATTATGTAATGTCATAATAATATATTATATTATAGATACAAAACGTTTAAACGTGTGAACTGTGGGTGGTGTATAATGCGTCATGTAAGACAGCGAGTCTTTAAAACACGCAGCCGCACACCCACGTATGACAATTTATGGATTTTTTAACAGTGTTGGTGAAAATGTTTTTTTTTTTTTTTTGAAAATTGTTTCGTTCAAATGGAAATAAAATATTGTTATTATATTATACTAACATGGGTCACGATCTCGGTAGAAAACGCACAGAAGTATTTAGTGTGCCATCGTTGGTTTTTTTTTCAAATTGAAAAATGCTTTCAAATTAAGTTGATGATTATTATACTTGAAATTTTCTCACGGCCTAAGCCGATCCCCGTAAAATAGTAAAATATACACAATACATATGATAAAATTATTGTATGATGGTAGTTTGGGCGAATGTAATAATTTTGACCAAAATATCAATAATCCTTTCAGGCAAATGAAAATAACTTTTACTTGCACTTAGATGCGCAAGTGATATTTTATTCATTTTTTTGCTCTACATTACTATATTACAATATAACTACATCAATGACTTTTTAAAGTTAGTGTTTATTATTAATTACTAATGTATATGATTTGAATTTGTTATTTTTATTTTTTTCGACTTACATTGTACATTATTATACAGTGTAGTTAAATACCTACAGTATTTCATAGATTAATTTATCTATGAAATATTTATTCTATACTTATTTCTAAACAGTATTTTTGGTGTAATTTAATACTCGCCCAAACCAATCAAACTTTATATAACTATTTTCCAAAACATAACACGTTTTTTGGTTGATTAGTCTAAATAGTCTACGTCCCCCACATAATTACGGACAACAGTTTGTACAACTCACGCATAGCGATCGATGACTTAGTGGCGACGGGTGGTCGATGACAATTAACGCTGAAGGTATTAATCGTCGCCGCTACCGTAGTACGCCTTGATGATCTTGTGGTACTGTGGTACGACCGCGGCCGAGTTCTTGCTGCTGACTACATAGAATCCGTTGGGCTTGCCGTTATTAACGTACGACTTTTTTACCGGTTTGCCGGCCGCCCGAGGCTTGTAGTAGAGTGTGCGGCGTGGCAAGATTTTGGAACTGGCCGCCGACGGAAGTTCAAAGTCACCAGCTTGGGTGTACTGCAGATGGTGCATTTGCTGTTGCATCTGTTGTTGCTGATGCTGCTTCGTGACCAAGTCGTTTACGCCCTTATAACGACCGCCACCTAGCGCGTGCTTGATGGTCGGCAGGTTCCAGTGGTACACCTTGGCTGGTTTTCCGTTAGACACGAACCCCACAGGCACTGTATTCAGATTCTTGTAGGGCGTCTGCTGATGTGGCTGGCCCAGTCTTTGACGGACGGCCGCCCCGTCGTCGTAAAAGTGCGAATGCGGTGGCAATTTGACAATGAACATTTGTGAGTCCGATCCGCCTTTGCCGTCCGCTGCGTACTTGCTCCTCGATTGGCTGGCTAACCGTTTCCGATGATGGTTAGAAATACCGTTATCACCCGTACTGCCACTGGTCCGCAACCTCTTCATACCTAGCTTGTTTAACAGTTTGGCGTTGTGCTGTTTGCTCGAAGATTTCTTGGTCGGCGTCTTCGCTAGCGCCGCTACTGGTTCCGGCGTGCTCGCCGTAGACTCATCCGTCGCGTACATCACCGGGGATCGTTGACTGTCATAGTCGTTGGCTGTTTCCGCCCCGTGGCCGTCGACGTCATTGCCATTTTCATCAGCTGACTTTACGCTACCGCGATCTTCTTTTTGCTTCTTAGCAGCCGTCGGTACGGCCCCGAAAGCAGCTACCATCGTCGCGGCCACCGCAAATAGCAAAATGATTTTACGCATCTCGCGGCTTCTTTGCACACTTCTGAAAAATTTATACACACACAATGTCAGTCGTAATATACAATTGTCATATGTACTTAATTAAAGTATAGCCTTTGTTAAATATCATATTTTATTTTTCACGTTCCTATACATGAAGTATAATTAATTTATGCATTTATTACTAACATAAAATATACATTATATATTTAATTTATTTATATATGAAATGGTTAGTGATTAGTGATTACTTTATACCGTGGCATTGATGCAATAGTAAATGCATGATTTTTTGATCTTAATTACAGTGTTGACAGTATACAGTATACTATATATTATATATACATAATTTTGATTTGAATTAAGTAGTAATAGTCGGTTTTGTTGTTGTGCTACAAGATGCAGATGTGTTTATGAATCGCAGGAGAGGCTAAGATAGTGAAATAGGCGTATATGACACAGGAAACAAGAGCATATTGACAGAAAGACGAGCATGGCATGTAAACAGGAATGATACTGCAGCCCTATGGAATGCTGAGGACGGCGTAGGTGACGAAATAAATATATGTTTTCTAAATATATTAAATAATACTTTAATGATACAGAATATACTGTATAAATCTGTATTTATACCAATAAAGTTATTTTCATAATAAAATAAAAAAAAAAAAGATTTTTGTTACAAATACATTCGATATATTGCAAGATTTTCGGCTATCGCCGTTCCAGAATGAAATCTTCCTATCAAGAGTTCGTTGGAAATATCCGTCTTATTTTGTATGTGTATACCATATTATATAATATATATATATATTTACATATAGGACATAGGATTCTTAAATTGTAACTATATTTGTGGAGAAAAATACATCACGTACACACGTATAATAATATATTATATAATTACGTTCTCGCACTGACACCGTGATCGAGAAGAACGCTTTGATTGTTTTATCAGTAATGACCCGGACACAAAGCTATAATTATAATAATAATTTACGTACGTTTATTTTATATTTTTTCATTCGTCGCACATTTCGCAGCCATATAATAATTTTTATGACTTTTTGAGTTTTAAATTATAATGGAACCTGCGTTAGTGGTATTGATTAACCACTCATAAATTATAATGGCTATATATAGATCTGCATTCGTTTCGAACGGAAAAAGAGCGCTATTATTTTTCAATTCTATCAACAAGTTGTGTATTGTAGCGAGTTTAGAGAAAAACGTAAAAATCTGTTTTTACGATACGTAACTACCCACGCCTCACATATATAATATATTAATATGTGTGTGTGTGATCTACGTCTTATTGATATATGCAACAATTCCATTATAGCCGTTATTTGCCGTACATCCGTGATAGCTATATTCTTATATTAAAGTGTGATATGCAGTTTGAAATTTTTCGTATTCATGATTATCTTCATGTCATAACCCTCCCCCTCCACCGAAAATCACACCAGACAGGATTCCGATTTTGAATGTGTGTAACAAAAAAACAACCGTACGAATACTGAGATACTTTGATATACGCAATATTACAACTTACAATATGCGTTTCTATTATTTTTTTTTCAAATACTATGTTCGAATTTCATTGAACTCATACACGCTTAACACATACCTTAGTGGTATGTAGTGTTTACTATGCATGGTGTCTGGTGCCGCGTTCAGAAAAACTGAATAAATGTTTTCATAATGGCTGTCCGGTTCACTTCCTAATTTATAGATATTTACTGCATGAACACACAATATGTGTTGTCTCTCGTCTAAGTCATAATGAAATAAACACACTTTGTCTTTTAGATCTCATACATGATCGCAATTCAACACCAAAGACATTATGAAAAAAAAAAAAAAATCATAAACTGATTAATACACGCATACTTTAATTATAGTCGCATAAACAATTTTTACTTTAAAAGAATTCTATGAGTTTATGTTTGGAAAGTTTAATATTAAAATTTTCTGTAGCCTGTTGACTTTGATATCTAGCTAATAACAATATACAAAAATATAATAATATGCTTATACACATGTTACATGTTACATTTAAATAAAATGTGTATGATAAAAATTATTTTTAACAAAAAAAAATAATAAAAATATATAATAGTGTTTCATTCTAAAATTATACGTTTTTATCAAATTTGGAGATTATAAAACATATACAATTTTCTATCATATTAGTTTTGTAGTTACCACGCTAATAGAGTTTTATAACCAGTGTTTTATAACTTACACCCTATCGAAAATCAAATTAAGAATTATATAATAATATTTAAGTGTAAAAATCTATTATTTTATAGTTTACACTTTACACTGGCTCTTATAACATTTAGGTAGTAAAAAGATTAAATTACTGATTTATCAATAAAAAAATATTCTGTCATTATTTTATACATTTTAAAAATCAATTCTACTCTTTTTTTTTAATTTTAAAATTATTGCAATAGTGGAAAATAATTTGATGTTCTGCTCGTTTATTTTGTACTCAATAAAATTAGTCTTCAAGAAGGTTTCCGGGAATAAATTTAAAAAGCTTAATTAATTTACCGTTTTAATGAGCGTCACAATGTGTTTAGTATTGTGTTCATATAATAATATTATTTTATGATAATACATCACCTATTCATATAAGTTTTATACTTTGATTATATCGTTGTACGTTAGTGTAAGTACTTATTGTTAAAGTTATAGGTTTATATAATAGAAAAAAATTATTATGTCATAAAAATCAAGAGGATGACTTAACCGTATTAACCATATGGTCTTCAAGTATTTTTAAACACATAAAATAATATTATATAGATGAATTATATTGTATGCTTTACATAATAATATGTTACACATTACTTGATGTTGAACTACGTCTCAGTACTTAACGAGCGAAGGAAGCAATGACCGGCGCCTGGCAGACATTACGTTATGAATCATGATATTATTGTTATAAATGGAAAATCACTTAGATTATGCCAGTCAATCAATATTGTACATTATCAGAGTTATTATAATCGTTTTATAATAATACATTAGTCGTTAGGCCGGACTACTGTCTTAACGGAATAAAACACAATGCTACAGTTAGCAGATATCCTCTAGGTGTTTTAATTATTAAGTAAAATTAGAATCGATATTATAGATTTATTTAGTATATTTAGAATATTTATATATATATATATATATATCAATACACATAATTATAACGAAAGGTTGGTATTTACTATTTTATAGTAAAGAAAAAAAAACCGGTCTCGAGTGAATCAGTCGACCACCCAACTCCTACCAACAGTAATTTGGTATTTATCATCCTTATTATTATTTGATTTAAAACACAGTCACGCCTATCAGCTTACGTGGTTATGGTCGTAGAACATATTTTAATGAGGTAAAAAGAATAATACGATGTAAAAATTATTATTTTTACTCTAAGTATAAATGCGCATTGTCATTCAGTGAAAAAAAACCATTATAGCAACATTATTAGAACACTTGTGTCTTAACACGATGAAGAATTCATGGTATAAAAAAGCGCAGGTATACGTAATAATAATAATAATAATACGTAATAATAATAACAACAATCATAGCACATGGAAAATTATAAAGTAAAGCGTAGGTGTATCTTGTAGCCGGTAACACCGGTCGAACTCGAACTTAGTCAAGATCGAAAACCCGAAGTCTAGAATAATATAAATTATAGTATAAATTATTATGTCACTATCATATTATAATGATATAATATTATAATTTTGTTATGGGTGCGACGCTGATATAAACATTACCTATCATATCTCGAAATCATATTGGCTTACATTATCTAATAAAATAACTCTTTAAGATTAGAATGATAACATTTATAAAATAAATAATTATTTTTAATGGAAGAAATTATCTTGATTCAATCTTGACATAAACGTTATATACTTTTTAAAGAAAATAAATAAATCAGACCCCGTTTAAGGGTGGTAAGATTTAAGCTGATCATATCCCCTCGTGTCCAATTACTTTAATCCCTCCTCGTGGTCGTACGGTTCAAAACTCAAATTATTTTGTGTATCATGTGATTATGTACATCATTCGATCGTGAATCAACTATTCTTTTTTAGCCCCTATACATATAAAAAATATAAATAATCTACTATTGCAATAAAAAAAAATTTTTTTTTTAATAAAACATTTGAATAACAAATTATTATCACTATCATTAAATTACTCGTCGTCATCGCAGAAGCGTGCGAGTATGTACAGGTGCACATAAATTGACATACAAAACCGCCAATCCATTTGAATCGTTAAATGCAGTAAGTATTGGTTAGCACTTCTTTGATCTTTTTCACTTTGTAGAATATATATACCACAGTCGCCAGCTGTATACACTTATGATATTTAAATTATAATTTCACACACTTACTCATATAATAAACATACTGTATGAATATATAATACGTGAATATTGTGGTCGCTATCGTAAAAACCTAACCTAATCTAAAGTCTATTCAAGTTTATAATATATACGTACGAGTTACCGTGTTGGTCTATCTGACATAAAACTGTATATATATATATATGGTAATGTATGTCATTTTAATTAGTTTATTAAAATCAATATTTATTTATATATTTTTTGATTAGTTAAAATTTCTAGTTTTTTAATAATAAAAATATATTTTCAGATAAGTATAAATCAATAAATTTTATAGTATACAAAAAAATTTACATCGTGGCAATCAATCTGTTAGAATAAGGGTGACAAATATTTAGTTTAGTAGAAATTTACAATCACTGGGTCACAGAAATGTCAGGAGTGTCAATTAATTATTGTAAGAGACACAAAATAAATATTTTACAACAATGAAGCTATCTTAATTAAAGACTTTCGCTTTATTCGTGAACTTATTATTGATTCCGATAATGATCCGATTTTATCTAAATGACTACACGAGTTGTGTCCGCCTTTATCCATACAACTATTTATAATTATATTTTTTCCCAGTTCTATTTCAAATGATAAGGTAACTTTTAAGCAAATTATAC